GAAGCAACAGAACGCCAGTTCGTCAAAACTTTGAAGTCTTTAAAAAATGAAAATCTAATTGATAATTCCATATTCGACGCTATTAAGCCCACCGGAACTCATACACCCAGACTTTATGGCTTACCTAAGATACATAAGCGGGGAATTCCCCTACGACCAGCCCTGGACATGTCGAACTCACCCTTCCATTTAACTGCCAAATGGTTAGTTCATCTGTTAGAACCGCTACATCGCCAATTGGTTAAATATAGTGTAAAAGATGTCTTTGACTTCGTTGAAAACATTAAAGATATGAACTTAGCAGACAAAACTATGTTATCGCTGGACGTAACATCACTATTTACCAACGTCCCCCTTGTAGAAACTGTCGACTACATATGCGAGCAACTCGCAGAAAAGAAAATAGAAATCGGAATCACTCCAAGAAAATTGAAAGAATTACTACTAAAATGTACTATGAACGTTCAATTTGTATTTAATAAGGAGTATTACCGCCAAATAGATGGGGTTGCTATGGGTTCTCCCCTTGGTTCCTTATTAGCTGACATATTTCTATCTAAATTGGAAAATGGTCCTTTAAAAGAGATACTAAACAAACTCGATTAATATTGTCGATATGATGACGATACCTTTATCATTTGTAACAATAATCAAGATAGACAACACCTGCTCCAAGCCTTCAATAAGGTACACCCAGCTATTAAATTCACTTGTGAAGAGGAACTCCAAGGTAGTATTCCATTTCTGGATGTTCTTCTTACAAAGAGAACAGACGGTACCTTAAAGCGTAACATCTATAGGAAAGCTACCTGGAATGGACAATATACCCACTTCCATAGCTTCATACCTATACAATATAAGCGCAACCTAATTCGTTGTCTTAGTCATAGAATTAGACGCATATGTACCGACGACTGCATTGAAGATGAAGTAGGAAATCTTACAAACGCCTTGCTACAAAACGACTATCCTACCAACTTTGTAAAGAAGTATATCTATGAAACTACACACAAAACTAAGCGAGACACAGTAAGTAAGAAAAAGCTTTACTTAAATTTACAATTCAAAGGCGATATATCCAGCGATATATTAAACCGTAGTTTAACGAGAGCAGTTGAAAGAACTTTCAGTGCCGCAAAACTGCATGTCACTTTCTCAACCAAACCGATATTGACACCGTGCATTAAAGATAGATTACCCAAAATGACGACATCAATGTGTGTATATAAATTCAACTGCTCATGTGGAGCTAGTTATTTAGGTCGTACCCAAAAGAATTTATCTTTACGCACTCCTGAACATATCCCGGTCTGGCTTGGGTAAAGAGCGACCAAATCATTAAATAGTGCAATTCTGGCTCATCTAGTGGATAGCGAACACAGCATCAAAGTAGAAGAGTCATTTACAGTTGTGTATCGAGTACCAAACAATCTCCCCAAAGGCATACGATTACGCCTCCTAGCCATAGCTGAGGCTTTAGAGATTAATAGAGAAAGACCAGACTTATGTTTACAGAAAAAACTTATTCACTCCCTCTGTCTACCCTGGCCCACTATAAGGTCACCAGGATCATAATTTTCCGTATTATTATCACCATTATTATCATTCTGTGATATCATGTCTTTATTACCCATTTCTCCATCCAGTTTATTTCACCTCATTGTTACCCTTAATTTTGTCAACCTTTGTGATTTTACACTAAGCCTACTAACTCCGTAACATCTTATTACAACTTACTATTTAGGCTCTTTATTTTACCATTAGACATTATCGGTCAGCCCTCACATTCAGTGTCCCCATTGTTAATGTGTGTTTGTGTGTATTTTGTGTCTATCGCATTTCTCTCACCCCAATGACACTTGTATTCTGTTGACTATAAAACTATATCACCCAATTGTTCATGCACACTTCATCAAATTTTTTCTGACTATACACCCAACACACATTTCATTGATTATGTTAACTAATGGACTATCATCTCAACTTACACATGCACCCCAATACAGTTTCTGATATTATTTTCATTTGCCTTTATTGGCTATATGTACCCTATTATTCATGGATCTATAACTGTAGAGCCTGAAGAAGAAGTTATCGAAAACAATTGTTCGCTCAAAATCTTGTTTTGATTTCAATATGGGGATATTGCATTTAATGCTCTGATTGACTATCCAGGAATATTATCTCGCATTTATTTTGCTGTTGTCCAGTGAACAAGAAGCGATATTGCAAGAAAAATTGAAAGTAAGACAGCATCAAAATTACTGCTTAAGGGGTGTAAAGGAACTAAGAAAAAGTAACAATTTATATTGTTAATAATGATCCCTTAAATATTTCATTGTAGTGCTACAAGATGTGCTTCAATTCAGCGAAGAGAACGAGTGTGCATTGCACTCTGCACAGCCAGGTGGTCTGTCTCTCTCTTTCTCTCTCTCTTCGCGGATGCGCGTGTGAGCGAGTCCCCCTGAACTATGATGAGCAGTGAGACTATTCACTCTGATGCCAGATAATATTATTAACACCAACAGTAATATTATCATCATTATTATTCTGAATAATTATATTTATTCATATAATAAATACAACGTCTCATTTCTTCAAATGTTACCAGTCAATCTTTTGTGTTATCGGAAGATTCAGGTCATCGGAGGAATGTCGGTTAATTAGAACTAGTGGTGTCACACTGATAAAACTGATAAAAGTGTGATCATGACTACCTAAATGAACAAAAGCGAGATATTATGGTTTCTGTGGTTAAATATAATATGCCTTGCGAAGACTGTGCTTTGTTTTCAATCGACTCATTCTTATGTTGATTTCACATTCACATTTCGATATGCACGTTGACCAATTCATCTATTTCACTCGAATTCCCCTAGAGCGTCCTACTCATTCTCTCCCATTCGCTGGAATTTTACGAAGATTCCAATGTCGCTTGCTTGTTTGTTTGTTCACATTTTACTTAGTTCGCCTGATTCAAGGAGATTTTTCTCTGAAGCACTGATTAACTCCACTCACACCGTCTACACTCACACACCCTTCCCTCTCGTCTTTGACACCACGTCAAAATGAACGAAACTTTGAATGAATGAATGGATCGATGGATGGTTGGTTGGTTGGAATGATGAAGAAAAGAATGCATGAGTGTGAATGCAGATAATCTGGCGACAATTTGACATGAATGAATTATTGATTTGTCGTAGGTCATACTCTCAGGAAGAATACTGAAATCTTTTCATCACTGACTTCCGAGCACATCGAATGTAATATCCTCGTCAATCTGTGTAGTGTAAATGAATCGGTAAACTCAACTCACACATGCAAATGAGCTGACTGGAAAGCGTGGAGTTCGGAATTTCCAAAAAATTTACTTGCAGGTTGGCTTTTCCTCTAGTGGGCATTCATTCAGATTATCATCAGAAAAGTACAGTTGCATATTCACCAGTGTCCACAGATATCTTAACACACAGATGTTTGGAAGTTAGTGTCTGCTGTCTAATGTGAAGTTTATTAATACTTTGTGTATCGAATGTCACACAACTCACATTTCCAAATTCTATGATGAAAATATTCAAGCAGCACTACACACTATTATTTCGGAAGCTTCCATAATTCAGTCGATTTGTAGATATTTAACAGCCCTTGAATTCCTTCCTTCCTTCCTTCCCTCCTCCTCCCGTCGTTCCCTCGTTCCCTTAATTGAAGACTGTTTACCACCTAAGTGGAGAAATATTTTCATCCATGAACAAACAAACATACAACAATATCATCGTATATGCTCGGTTCTTCTTTTTCCTTCACCAATAGGTCATCATTTTGTGAAGGTGGGAACACTGACTATATGAAAGCTTATATATATTCCTTGACACAAATTAGAACAATGGATTCTGGGCAAAATAACAATGATAATACTCCTAATAATAATAATAATGATATCGTTTTTACATATTTTGAGTCAAGCAGCTAGGTTCACACAAATCTGTTTTTTTATGACATGTGGGTTCAATGTAAAATGTCGGTTGGGATTTATATTCTAACTGATTACAGTCACGTTTTGACCGAGGGCATTTTGTCATTCACTGTCATCCACTGCCTATTAAGGATCATCTCCCATGAAATGAAGTGAACGTGCAGAGTGAGAGTGTCTGGTTTGTTGCTTGCAGCTGACAATTTTGCACGCACATTTAGATATCTGAGATACCTCCTATTCGATGGGATGAAGATTCCAGATATTCCTGTAACATTCACTACTGATGACTCCGTTGTTCAACTTCCTAGTGAGTTTCGGAGTCTTTACATGACAATTAGCTTCACATTTCACTACCATGCTGAAACTTGAAATTTAAACTCTTTCCTAATAGACCCTCGAATAACATTTCCTCTTATAAATTCTCCAAGTGACAACTTCATTTGATATATTCAGCATAAAATGATGATACAGTTGCATGCATGTGAACGTCGCCTTCCATCAATTGATTTAGCCATTCGCTCACGCAATCACGTCCAGAATTCGACGGCTCGTTATTTGAATGAAAGGACGAATATATTATGAATTGTGTTACACTAGTAGGTCTTAGACAAACAGATGCTTTACACTTCAACTATTTACTTATCTTTTTGCATTGGTAAACAGAACGAACAGCAAATATCCCTGACTTGAATACACAAGACCACATTGATAACTTTCATGTTCCATGTGACATGCACTGTGAAATGGTCTGAGAGTTCTAGTATGCTTTCACCTCTTGCTATTCTACCCAATGTGATTGATTCCCAATCAAACATGTGGGAAAAGGTGATGAAGTAATTCAATTTGGAAAGCAATAATACCACAAATATATTTGAGAAAAAGAGAAAAAGAAGATTTTCAATTTAGGGATGAAAAAATATTTTATTATTATATTTCACTAATACTAATCTACAAAAGCCTGTAAGAGGCAAAATTCATTACTGTAATTAAGTGTTGGAAATAGTTGAAAAATTTCAGAGACGGTAGTGCATCACTGTTGTTGTATCATGGGATACTGTATTCTATTGTTTTCTACTTCTACCTTCTACACAGAAAAGAAAAAGTACGCATGATTAATAAGAATGCAAACAAAGTGGAGAGAGTTAGTCGGTGCTTCTTGAATTTCGATGATTATCCCAACGCCTCTACTGCCTTCCTACTGAGATTCATCAGCGCACACACACACACACAAAATACACGACACCTCACTCTATCACATTCATCAAGTAAGATGTGTGACTTGATTCTACCTCAGTCTGTGTCATTCACTGAGTGGAATTGTATAGCCTCACAGTGTGTGAGCTGTCTCTCCGTAACTACTGACTGACGAATGCACACCAACTAAAGGAGCACACTATCTCCCAAGGATGAGTTTGCACATTCATAAAAAACAGGATGAAACGCCTCAATATTTAGAATGACACTTAACATATATGCAACAAGCGATTAAGCGCAACCTAATTTACAAGCACTTTTCAAAAGCACACAAATGGAGATTTGTCTATATCCAGCCTCCACCTGCAGAGTGATTCACGATATCAGGACGATAATTCCTGTGTGTTGACTTCAAGTTGACTGACTCAAAGCGAAGACTGACAATGTCAACCACTCCCGACTATTTGATTACATTCATTAGTATCACAGTGAGTTAGTTTATCATTGAGATTTAAGATGGATACGTGGTAAGTTAGTCAGATTGTTAAAGACGCTTTCAGTTTTCTTCCATGAGACACGTGTATTGCAAGCAGTGTGCAAGTGATCGATAACAGGCATCCAAATGAAGCTGTTCATCGTCATCATGTCCGTTGCGATCAAGTCAAACTGTCAAAAATGATTGTCTGCCACCTGCCTACAGCATTGCATCATCAGCATGAAGAAATCGGCTAATGAGTAGTTGGCACTGCTAAGCTGAGATCTGACACAGATCATTGGGACTGTCTATCTGGACACACAAAAGAGACAGGTTTTCTACAGTCAGCACACTTTTCTTTCCAGAGAATAGTTTGTGATCAGTCATTAACAGGCTTTCTACACAATTTCAGTTAAAAACTTCAGCTCACACTTATCGCATCAGCCATTTCGCGAAAGACGCCACTGAGGACTAAAATTAAAATAAAAATGAAAAATTTGATTAATTTCTGTGATATACTCTCTATATATTCATGTTGCGTTCGTTGCACAGTCAATACTATAACGATGTGTGGTGTGGTGAAATGTGTCTATCAATTTACAACATCAATACTATAAAGATACATGTATGTTTTACGGGTGTGTGTGTGTGTGAAAGTCAAGTTCATAGTGAAATGAAATTACTTCTTTTATCATGAGTCAATGCAGCCATGGACTTCCTTCCATCACTGATAAATAATGTTCGTTCTCACGGGTGGAATCCAAAGCCATTGTAACAGAAATGCATAGAGCTACAGGCTTTCCAATATGGTGGATTGACACGAATCGACATGTGTTCAGTAGCAGGCAGCACGCGACGTGTGAAATGTGTGTACAGTAGGATTTTAATGAAACTGCTTCAACATGAAAGTGGCTCTTACACGAAGGGGGGGGGGGGGAGTAAATTTAACACTGTAAACCCTAGACAAACGGGGAGAATTGTCATATGCGCTTACGAGAGAATTGGAAATATCTTGATCGCCATACGGATACATTTGAAATCAAACGTCTCAATTTTCTAAAACCTATCAAATATCGAATGGGAAATATCGAATGTCACAATACACGGTTGAATGAATGAATGAATTGTATCACTTCACATGAGATAAAAATCAAAATTGACAGACCTGATTTATTTTAATTTGACAGTGATGTGTTTTCGCACACTCAGGACAGCTGGCTCAGATGTGGTTTTCTGAGAGAAATTCGATTTTCACTCTAACAGTTTTATTCAGTCTGTAAACAGCTTATATTTCTACCGCTCCTATGTATTTAGTTGTGTATATATTCAAGGATTCAAGTGCTTCGATAATCCGCTAACCAGATAATGCGGAATAATAATACAGATAGAGATACAAATGCATCAAGTCAGTCAATGACACCTGATATACAGTACAGTACTCACAATCATCCAGTTATCGTGGTTTTCATGTGATGGCAGGAGAAAATACTCAAAAATGGCATGAAGGATGGATGAACTCAGGAAAATTAATAGACGCAGTTGGCAGATCGATCACCAACTCCATCCATAGACAAATGTAAATTCGATATGAACCATTAAAAACTGATGTTGACACATGTTTTATGATCATCCATATTGTTGGTTAAGGGAGCTCCTCATATAAAAATATGCTGAGGCAATATCTATTCTCAAACTTAATCTTCTCGTCACCAGTGTGTTCAAGGACCATCTGCTACTTACCAACTCCTAACCAACCTTGGTAATCCTCATTTCATTGGACAACCAAATGAAGTGTTAATTAATCTTATTATTCTTAAATGCTTTCCGTCCCATTGTGTACTTTAATTTCCCTGTATTTTTTTTCATATTAATTAGCTTGACAAGTAAATATGTGAGCCATAAATTGTTCAAAACGTATTCAACAAATACATCATATTCTTGAGATAATCTCCATCTTCTCCTAAAATCTCTATCGATATTTTTCAAAAGGGACTAAGTAAATTGAGGAAACAAAAAAAGTTTCGAAATACCTTTTTGCAATCGTGTTGGTTCTATGCATGGTGAATGTGTCAAAGCATTCTGCTCAACTGTAAGATCGAGAGGAAAGGCATAACAATGATACAATGATAAGTACTGAGAAGTTCTATTAGCAAAACGACGATTCTGTGAGTTTTGCAGGCATCATAAAGTATTTCATTGGCCTTGAATTATTACTGCATCGCTGTGTGATATTTAAAGTAAGCTTATCTATCACAGTGCCCAGGCTCTACACTTATATTAAGAAATCAATGTCACTAAAATGAAAGTAGAACACCACTGGCGGTGAAATATCCGACTGATAAATTAAACAGCTCTGTTTTCATCCTTCACACAACAAACAAAAACATTAAGTATTACACCCATATGATGGAAGAATAGGGAAAGCGGGACAGGTATTTCAACACATGAATTCTCCATTTAATGCAATCACAACTACCCATGCGCTTTCAGCTCCTTCTCACTCACATGACCTCCTCACTTATTATTTTTATTTTGGATTATAGCTTGATTCCACAGCGTATTTTTTGGTACAGGTATGGAATTTTCAGCATGTGATATCGGTAGCCCGAATTTTGCAGGCCGACCATAGATATCGTGTGTGCGTCGGCAGGGTGTCGAACCCCGGACCATGTGCAAGTTCGGCGAGAGTCCTAACCACTGTGCCACCATCACACTTATGTCCATCTTGTCGTTCCCGATTCAGGTCCACTCGAGCGATGACCTGGCATGCAACGGTCCCACGAAAATAATTCTGATCCATCTCCATCTTCGTCCACATAGTTGTTGGGCAATAATGTCTCGATTGGTTCGTTCCACAGCTGAGTTGCTTGTTTCTGGTGCCTTCTGGCAAGCCGAGCATATCACTCGCGGTATGGAGCCATTTAAGTCAGTCTCTGATGAAGCTTTGCGACAGGGCTGTTGGAAATGCTCTTCACGGTGTGCTAGTCACGTCTCTCAAACACCAAGAAGAATTGACTTACTAACATTGCTGTGAAAATCCGAATTAAGTTATATATGCTGAGGCGGAGTGCAGTAGATTTTCAAACTGATTTCAGAGTGTTGAACGTCTGTCTTCTCTTTCCAATTCTAGGTGGTCGCTACACTCTCATGTGTCCCGAATGCCTGAGGTTGAAACGACGACGCCCAGTCAGATAGGTGAAAGTTGTGGTTTCCTTCAAATTCCCCTTCCTCTCATTCGTGCTTGATATGAATGTTAGCTGGTTATCCGCATCCCACTGTCTTCTCGATTTCCACTTGAATTACTTACTGTCTATGTTGTCTGCCTCTTCTTACAGCTTGGTGGTTTTCAGGGCCTGCAAATCTTCGACTTTGCGTGACAATAGACACAAATCGGCTAGAAAGTTCAGATATTCTAGTGTCTTCTTATCAGTTACTATTTACTCGTTCCTCACGCACAGTCTTTCACAAAATCCAGCAGACTACCACCAGCACGAATGTCATCGTTGTTGATATTTACACAAGTGATTCAATTGAGAAATCACAATGAACAGCATTCATTCATTCGAGTCCATTCGAGTCAGCATTTAATCTTAACTAAAAGCTCAATTTTAACATTGAATAAAGTTGTTCAACCCTAGCACAAAATGAGTGTTGATCACTTCCACTAACAAATCTTACACAACACAAACATTCATTCCCCGGTGAGTTGACTATTATAAGAAATGTGGATGGAGTCAAGGCGTTATGCACAAATATTCATTGTAATAATTATTCCTCACCTCTCAGTTTAGCAATCTCAGTTCTCACAAACTTAATATGCGGCTTCATTACTTTTATAAAATTACCTGAATGATATATAGAAAAGTGAACATTTACACCAAGTGTGAATTAACAATTACTTATAAGTAGGCAGCACGTGTAAAATGTGGACATTTTCAGTAGCACATTTAAGAAAATGAATGTTGTGAAAGAGGTTTCCGATGATCAATGAAATATTCATCGCCTCGTCCACTCACCTTTCCACACAAACAAACCCACACGTACAACAAGATGTAATGAGCATTTAGGAGGATATTAGAGAAAATGTTTGTAAAACTAATTAATGAATACCTACCAAATTGTTTATCTAGATTAAGGAACTTCGGCAGGACTTCTGAAATTTGTTGGGAAGAACACGTCTTATATATAAACAAACTCTTTGAACACGGAATAATAAGATATACTGAAATAGTTTAGTGAAGTGTAACATTCTGTGGAATAAAGCAGTGAGATGAAGAATATTTGATGACAAAGTGGTGGCCTTCAGTTAAACTTCGTTTTCTCTCTTTCCAACTTAGGTGCTATGAGCACTATTCATCCCAGAAAAGGTTAAGAGCAGTTTGTTCATTTAATAAATTTCGATATACTTATTGGAGATAACGAAGCTGTCCTGGAAGAATTTGATGTGTATTTTTTATCCACACTGTGTCCCTACACACACACACACACGGGCAAACACTTGCAATTTCAGTTTGAATGAAAATTGAGTAGGTTTATGGTCTGACGAAGTAATCAGGGATTTAAGCATGTTAAGGATGACAACTGACACCACACTCCTGATAATCAGACAAGGATAATCGAAGCACGTTAATAGCAACCACAAATGATTTTCGTTCAAACATGTTGTGGTTAATTTCACCCATGGCAATCACCACAAATTACTTCAGTAAGCAGCGGGTCATATGCAAATAATCTTTAATATTATTCTTATAACTAACGAAGTACAGTGAATCAGTTTAGTTTGTTCAAGCGGTTTGGATTCGCATACAGCTAACTCTTACGTCTCACATTCATCACTGATCATATCAGTCAGATACACTCCTAAATGCTTTCACCCCGAGAAAGAATTATTCACTGGTGAAAGTGTCAAGAGGTTTCTTATATCAAATTAATCATGCAATAAGAAACAAAAGATGTTGTTGTTTGACCACGGATTGATATGACTTAGCGAAGGATTGGAAAGTAGCATGGCGAAGTGGATGGACAGCCGTTTCGCGCTACATTCAGGCTCACCGGTAGTACACCGGTACCGACACTTTCGAGGTCAGGATCATGCAGTCACAAATCAAGCTCACAGACCATTCAGCCACTGTGATCCAACTCCTCAATGGTCAGCGCATGAATCGGAGCCTCTACAAACTCTTGATTTTCAGCCTGACTGCTGTCAGTCAGTGTTATCAGTGGGTGTTTATCCTCAACCGGGATCAGATATAGCCCACTGGTCACAAATACATATCAGATGTCCACAGGTCTTCACTTCGTTCTCCAGGCAATCAGTAGCTAGGGAGTATCTGATTAATTATCAAGAGTTGGTTAAAAACAAATTTTCAAAGAACTCTACAAACCTGCGTACAATCTCAATCGATATAATATCTCGGAGTTTTGAGTTGAACATTCTACAACTGGAAATTATTTTTTAAATATTTTTTAGTTACACATTCAACTTACACTTATCCAGCAGTGTTCTCCGTTTGAGTTTCCCCAACAAATAATCTAAATGCGGGGCGGGGGAAGAATAAGGTGAATAAATAGAAACATGTCATAAAACGTTCTCAACTATCAACAAACAAAGAGAAGTCATTCAGTTGATGTGGGGTGTGAAATTTATTTAAGTAAAGCTGTAATAACCTCTAGAGAAATGCAAGAGAGTCTTGTACACCTCAAATTGTCACCATCACACATTCTCAAGTTGACTTATTTCACGCTGACTACATAAATGAATTTCCCATAGGACTTCTCTCCTTGATGATGATTGATGATGAATTTGCTACTGCTGTTTTCGTCGTTGGTGATGATGGTGGTGACGATGACAGTGGTGGTGGTGGTTGTTGGGCGCCTTTATCATCTCTGTCTTTTGTGCGATCCCGTTGAATCTGATAATATGTGAACAAGTCATCGAAACACTCTCAAGTTGACTAATCTCATTCATCAGTAGAGAAGAGATGAAAGATTCCCACAGACAAGAAAGAAGTGAGTAGTTTTGTTGTTTTACACATATTCATCATAACTCCTCAACATTTAACAGCAAGCATGTTTTGGTTCAAATGATATAGATATTTGTTTCGAAGGGTGTCTATCAGTAATTCGCTTGAATCATCAATTCCAGGAGATATTCAGTATACTGGCGGAGATGTTTGCATCATCATCCTACTGATGTCTATCATACGACATACTGCGTTCGTGTGAAGACTACATTATCAAAACACATCGACCTACTTTATCGTGCTCATTGTGGTAGGAAGTCATGTATTATTGTGAAGCATAAGTGAATATTCCATCAGAATAAAATGCAAAGAGATAAGTTAAATAGTGACGCGTACTTTTTGTCTCATTCATTTGCGATTCTGCCAACTTCCAATCGATTTCACTGCGATTCGCCATTCCTGTAAGGAAGTAGAATGTTTACTCACATGAAGGGAGAACAGAGTCAGTCATTCAGACTACACAATAAATATCGAAAATATTTTATCCCACTGATGTCAAAATGCTTGCAGACATTAGGGGAGAACAAACAAACACTCCTTCTCACATGATGTTTAATGGAAAAACTCATATGTGAAGGAAGATATTGCCAATTTGAAATCCAAAATAATAATACGAGATGCATATTGATTTATGTGTAAGTAAATACCACACATGAGCATGTGTGATGAACACGTTCCAAAACAATGGTAAAAATGCATATAATTTCTCCAAATGGTGAAAAAAATACTAAAGATTACTAAGGTCATCTCACCATCAAACGATTCCGAAAAATGTAGAAGCGTCTCATAATCTTCATTCCATCCCCAAAATTCGTCTAAAAGAAAAAATGCAGAATAAATCCGGTACGCTCAAATACCACCTCATGAGTATTATATGAGTGAATTCTTAGGAAACCCTGTGCTTAAACGTCATCACTTCATTCATCTTTTTATACAGATTAACAGCAGCAAAAGACCTGTGCATTCTCCCTCCATCTGAAACTGACTTAATTATCAACATATATTACTCTGCAGGAAAGTGCATCAGTTCAAGTTTCCAGAATTCATTATTTTACACACACACACAGGGGTACAGACCAATAATGCTATCCAACCTCATTGATCGGAAATGCATAAGTAAAAGCATAACTACATGAAGAATGGTGAGTATATGTATGTATATTGGATGTGAATTTGGAACACTAGAAGCAGTGAATACACATGCGCTCACTTTTCATACCGATTTTCAGCCTTATCACCAACAACAACACTCTCCTGCCTCGAACAGATTCATATTGATCATAATGTGTGAAGTGTGGTGTCGCTCTGATAAGAAGTGTGAATAACACACTGTGTTGGATAAAAATCGACTATAACAGCTGATCGAACTGACAACATTCACTAAACCTGTGAAGTTTAAGAAAGCACTGGCTGGCACTAAAACAGTCTTCAATATGTCCACTCCCCTCCTTGTTATTACAGCTGTGTGTGAATGTGTGAGTGTGGATCTCCACGCCGACTGCAGAAATGAATTTCACGCAGGACGTCTCTCCTTGACACACACTGACTGGTAAATGTTGCTGCTGACATTGTTGCTGGCGATGGTGATGGAGGTGGTCAGCCATCTATCTTCCATGTGCTCACATAGACTAGGCGAGCGAATATGTGAACCAGTCGTCAACCGTCAAGCCGTTTTCTCTCACATTCTCAAGCTAACTAACTAACCTCACGTGGCAATGGAGAAGAGATGAATGATTCCAACAGACAGACATGAGGTCGGTAGTATTATTGTTTCACACCACGCATGCACCACCACCTCCTAAAAGTGAAAAGCATGTTTTGGTTCAGATGATATAGATATTTGTTTCGAAGGGTGTCTGTCAGTAATTCTCTTGAATCATCTCCAGGAGATATACTCAGTATACTGGCGGAGATGTTTGCATCAACCCACTGATGTCTATCGCACGACATACTGCGTTGGTGTGTGAAGACTACATTATCAAAACACATCGACCTACTTTATCGTGCTCATTGTGGTAGGAAGTCATGTATTATTGTGAAGCATAAGTGAATATTCGATCAGAATAAAATGCAAATATACGTTTGCAGGTGACTTACTTCGATTCATTTCTTCAAAATATCTTCCATTATCCTCATTGCTTTTGTCGCTCTTCACCAACACTTAAACAGAGTATACATTGTATATATATATATGATCAATCTTGAATTTTACAGACTGAACTATAATTATATATATAAATTATCTCTAATTTCAAAATATTCGCAAGCATTCCGAGTACAAAGAATCCTTCTCGTAGGATGTTTGATTGAAAAACTCATAGGTGAAGGATAAAAGTTGATTTTTGTGGAAATATCAGCACGCACACACACACATACAACCATACACTGCATTGCAGGCATTTGGCAAGGAAATCAAGTTCCAATTTGTCTGTCATACAGTGCAAACCAACCCTCCAAAACACGAACGAGTCAAACTGCATATACTTTATGATTATAGTTAGAATATTTATATTATTATTATTATTTATTGTCCTCTTACTTTTGAAGGAATCGCTCCAAAGAATACCTGTTATGTTGATGTTTTCCCCCTTTAAAATTAGACCTGAGAGAAAAATACACGAATAAATCCTATACGCTCAAATAGACGACCATGAGTATTATGAATGAATTTCTCATACTTCAGCCTTCGTTCACAATGTATAGAAATTTATTAACAGGTGAATTTCAGACAAACAGCTGTACATATTTTAGACAATATAACACATTGTTAATAATGATAATAATATTAATAGCTTTATTGCAAACAGTGCTTTCAGTACAAATATGCGATTTCCAGCATGTTGTACAGTATTGCATGTAACCTTCTCATTACAGGAGTAATAGTTATTAAAAAGGAGGGTGACATTTAAATTGATGAAATTGTTCAATAAGAAAATGAATACAAAATTAAATTAGGTGAAAATATTACTAACAATGTGACAATGAAAATAAAATGAGGCTTAAATATACCACCGAGTTGGCAGTTCAGCAGTAGAATGCTTGCCAAACACGCCAAACACACTTGTTTCGGGCCTCTAACCGCCATCGCAGACTCACTCCTACACACGTCCAAGCCGATGCTCAGTCTAGTGAAGAGGGAAGTCTGAGTGTGGGGTGGGGTGGGGCTAGTAGCCCCATGCTGTGAAATATAAAACCACTGCTACTGAAACTTCAGAGCGGAAATCAGAAGCACCTTGTTCAATCCGGAACAACGTAAAGGAGCAACATAAATACATAAGTAAAATATAGTCGTACTTACTCCTTCCCAAATTTGATTGTACAAGCAGTGGAGCGACGATAGTTAGAAGGAAGACTGTGCACCGATTCATCATGTTCATATATATGTGATCATTCAATTCACGAGTATTTATACTAGTGCTGAAATTCAGTTGTCTGTGAGCACAGTATAATCCTCGATTGTGGTTGGCCGATTCAATCTGTCTTACTCTGTTTCACGTCTTGATTGGATTCTGAATGGAGTGATACCCACGTTCAATCAAATAACAACTTGTGTGAGCCTATCATAGAAGAGAAAATCAGCAGAGAGAATGGAGGGTGACTTCAGTTTTGCAAATATTTTGGAGCACTTCATATGTCGTTATAATTCAAAGGCGGAGACAAGTAAAAGAAGAGGTTGAAGAAGGGTATTCATTGCCGCTCACACATAAATCACCTTCGCAATGTTTCCACATTCAATTTGTGGCGCTGAATCGGCTTCTTCTTCTCAAAGCAGAAAATTTGCAGTAGACATTTTTGTGGAAATACATTGTCAGTGAAAACCAACAGTCCACCTGTTCAGTGTGACAAATCAAAGAGTTCTACTTCAAAATCTATACAGATTAATGCATAGAACTGAAGACGGTGTATTCATCATTACCACTCCACCCACAATCACTTGTTGACCAACACTGGGAAGACGAAGCAGACAAGAAATCATCATTCAGTACAAATTGTCAAATTCTGAATGCTGTAGAAAGTTACACAGTGTCTTAAGGCCAGTGATGATTTTGGCACACAAACAGAATGTGGCGCCTATTGGAATACTGACAAATAACATCCTTAGCTGAGTCCAACCTTATTATTATTTCCAAGGCGATCAAATCGTCGCTTAATGAAAACAATATGTGGAAACAGAGGCAGACTACAATCCTTTGCACACAAATCATACTCATTTTGATTGGACACTAGTAACTAGTGAGACGTTTCTAGATTTTTCTTTGGTGCAGACTGAATTCTATCAGTCAGGTTTGCAATGTGGCCACCGTGGCACCGTAGTGGTGAGCTACCTAGAATGGCGGCCACAAGACACGTCGCACTAGTTACTAGTGTCCAATCAAAATACATACCACAGTCCTACAGGAGGTCAATCACGAGCCCGAATAGCTCAGTGGTAACGCCTGTGACTGCAGCACTGGGAGACTCAAGTTTAAATCTCAGAACAGATGTGGGTTCCTTCAAGGTTGTAGGTACGCCTTGCTGACGAGCGTCAACTAGCACGAAACCTGTCGACTGCCTCCAAATATCCAGTTTTACTCATTGTTTATCAGACTCATGTGATCTCTGAGAAAATATATATCTCCATCGTGAAGATAATACTGCCTGGCGTGAGTAGTGTGCAAAGTAGCTGTCCAACCGATTACACTAGGCATCCATTTTACTTCGAAAACAAGGAAGTGAGAGGATGATAACAGCACTTGCATTAGCATAAGTTTGATTGTAATAACTGGTCGTTACATAATTTGTCAACACAGTCTCCCTTCTCATTCCTACTTGATGAGATGTTAGATGGAATCTCGTTTTTGTCATATCGCAAGGGTGGCGATGGTGAGCTTATATATTTTAGTGGAAGTGTGGGGGTAGCCTGTTTGTATCTGACGATAAACAATTTGTTATATAGTGTAAAGAGCATGATGTTTGTGAAAGATCTATGAATTCAATGGACAGCCGGAAAAGTCACAATTTCACCTCACAGATATCACATTAATATCACTCACTTTTCTGTTAAGCATTTCCTGCATGCTGATGATGTGAACCAACTAGAATGTTGGAGGGAATTTATTTCGTAATCAATAAATTCATTATATTACTATATACAGTTTGACATTTGATGATAGAAAGTATACCGACGTGAATCAATCGTGTTGCATGTGGAATCTCTTATTTCTGCTTAAATTTCTCATAGTCTGTTAAGGTTCTTTCAAATAACTTCATGTATAGCTTCGGTAGTATCACCTTTATAATTTTCTTTCCAGAAATCTAACTTTGCAGATGCGAAATCACAAGTCGAAATCGTTAACTTCCAGTGCGCAGTCCTGTTGATAATTTTCTGTTATGATGTAAAGTATGACGGACGAACTCCCATCCCACAAGTCAGCAGACAGATATGTCCCTTTAGTAGCTCCTCTTCAAAGCTGTTCAACTATGCGTTTGGGTGCTTATCCATACAGTCAGTATAGGTTGACATCAAGCATGAAAAGTTACTGTCAGTAGCAAAGGAACTGAGTGAATCAAAGGGTATGAGTAACAACTACGATTGTGAAAGTGAGAATAATCCTACGCATTCGAGAGGGCTGACAACTCATCAGCAAAGTGAGGAATAACGGTTTGGAAATGGTTGATATGAAAAACGAGAGGAGAAGGGATTGGAAATGAGTTGCGAAAACATAAAACGGACCACTTAGAGCTTTTTATACACTTACTCAGCGAATCGAAGAATGAAGAAGACAAAAATTTTGCACTAAGAATATTTCAATAAAAGAGGCTTGACAAAACGTTAGTGAACACAAATTACAGGTTCCCTCTAGGCATAGCTAAGAATTCAGCTGCATGAAGAGGATGTAGGTGAAAGTACCTAGGACTATTTAGTCGTACTCAATTTATGAATGCGAAAGTATTCTTCACGATACTACCTGCCAAGAAGTAATGACATGTTCCAATTACGACTGTTGACAGGCCAATTTTATTCTTGCTGACAAACACGCTCTAAAATGTTCATAAGTGCCTCTCGGAAGGGTGCCGCGTCTTCAGGTTATGCTCTAAGCTCTACATAAACAAGTGAACCAGTTAACAAACACAGAAATAAACAAAGTGCAAGTAAATTTCGAAGATTCCCGTCCCCCACGCTTTCCAAGCATTTGATTGATATGCATACATCAGAAAGGTTGAGGAGAATCTCACTTTCCAGGTGTTCATAAATCAGTCAGCAGATTTGAGCTGATCTACCTATCACAAATCAATAATTCATTCGAATCAAATCGTCGTCAGATTATCTACATTCACATTCATGCATTTTCTCATCCATCCATCCACCTATCCAGTCATTCATGATTCCCATCACATTTTGGCAATGTATAAAAGACGACAGAGAGAAAGGTTTTTGAGTGTGGAGACGTTGTGAGGGTTGTGAAACAGAGGCACGGAAGTTAATTTCCAAAAAAGACATGCACTAATCAGACAAACAAACAACTGAACCGACCAGCAAACAGAGAAACGTACAGGCAACAGTGGAATCTTCGTGAAAATACAGAGAATGAGAGGGAATGCGTAAGACGCTATAGGGGAATTCAAGTGAAATTCGAAGAAGATTGTCAGTGTGAGTGTGAAAATCTGAATGTGAAATAAAAATATATAAAAATGTGTCCATTCAGAGCAAAACAGACAATCTTGCCTACGCATATTATACTGAACCACAGAAACCATAATATCTCGCTTCTGTTCATTCAGCTAGTAATAAGCTCGTTTTTGGATTTATCAGCGTGACAGTAGTATTTCTAATTAACCGACATTCCTTCGATGACCTGAATCTTCCGATAACACAAAAGATTGACTGATAATTTCTGAAGAAATCCGCCTTTGTAATTATTCTATGAATATACATATATAATAATTCAGAATAGTGATAATGATAATATTACTGTTAATGTTATCATTATTATTATTATTCATATTACAGAGTGTAGGATATCTCATCTAATTATCAGGTATCTTAGTGAATAGTCTCACTGCTCATTACAGTTCACAGTGTCTCGCTCACACACTCACACACACTTGAGAGAGAGAGAAAGAGAGAGACAGATACACACTGCATGCGACACATTCACTGTCTCGCTGTTCAGTGTACAATGCACACCCACACACTCTCTCTACTGAAGCTAAACACATTTTCTGGCACTACGATGAAATATGTCAGGGCGTGATATTAATAATAATAATGATGATTAATATTTTTAGTTGCCTTATACATGAAGCAGTGAACTTGATGCTGTGTAAGTCTCAGTATTCTGTACCTTGTCACATCCAATTTACTCGACAACAGGAAAATCAATGCGAGATAATATTGCAGGATAGTCAGTGACAGACAGCATGGTTGTTCCAGCAGTGACAACCAAATGAAAAATATTCAAAATGAATGAGTTAACTAATGATCAACATGGTAGTCGGTAGTCGGTAAAACTGTGAGCAAGTTAATTGAAACTGTCTGTGTCAGCATGCATGACAAGTAACATGACAGGCAATTATGGAGTTTTTCATTTTGCCCTTAAATCAGTGTAGTCTGCATGTTTCGTGCTCAACACTATCCGAATCTCAGAGAACGTGGACGACGAAAATGTTTACTGCTGAGAATTTTATTAGCAGTAACCCTGTGAATGTAGATCACGTCCAATTCTATCAAAATATCATGCTCCCATACATGTAATCTGTCAAAAGAATCAGCTAATATTTGCAACTGAATATATGCAGCATATTGTGTAATTTCTCTGTGCAAAAAGACGCTTTCGAAATTGTTGGCTGCCACATTGAGCAGATGAATATAAATAAGTTGAAAAAGTGTTCTACCAGTTCGCTTCCAACTTTCTGATAACTAGTTGACACAATATGTCAAGTTTGTTCATATGCTCTTTAGTTGAATTACTTCAAGTCCTCTCCTCTTCTTTCTCCTCAAATCGCTCTAAGATATTCAAAAGATTTACCATCATTATTATGATCATTATTATCGTTGTTAGGCGCTGGAAGTAACTATTTCACACTTGAAAGTGAGCATATCCAACAATTAGATGGCGTGTCTATTTGCAATTCATTAGGATCTTTCTGGGTTGATGTGCAATTGTTAAAAATGTTGGAAATCTGTTCGGTGAGGCAAAAGAGGAAGTCGATTTTTCATGCGAATCATTTGGAGTGTGGGAGAGAGGACGCATTTCATAGTCTCGCAGTTTCTGATCGACTTAAGAACAAGTGAGAACGTGATCCCGATATCTCCAGGATAATCATGATCGGTGCACTGGTGATAAAACTGGGTATATCGCAATTAAAACACTATCTGTTTAATTTTCTT